TGAACCAGCTGCCACCAACTTCACACCACTGTCAATAGCCGTAACGGTTTCTCCAAGTACTGGAACAGACTGAACAGCACCCATTTCTATCAACAGAACAGAAAATTGTACTAAGTTGGCGGCCGATTTAGTCAGAAAAACAGGAACAGTATGTTTGCTACCTGACAGACCAGCTGAATAAAGGCCTACTTTTTTTTCTGGGCAGCTCTGTAAACTGACGAACCAATAATTCTAACCAGGCAATATTACAACGCCTGATGACGACAATTCCAATATCTGTCATTGCGCACATTTCTGAAGCTTGACACCGAACAAGCTAGCGTTCTCTCATTGAAAAATCAATTTAATGGTTTTAAAATCAAGAAGCTTAGCATGAGCCGAGTGGTATTTGTAACAAGAGCGTAACAGCTTTGAACGAGACCGTATGAGCTTTAACACAAGAATTTCGATAATATGCCCAGGGGCATAAGGAAAGAAAACTTATATTAAGTCTCCTCATGGAGCAGCAGTTCTATTATGCAAGGTTTATCTCAAAATATTCAACTTTCCCCTTATTAGGTTATCTCTTCTTGCGATTCTACGGAATTTAAAATCGAAGAAGAAAAAGAACAGGAAGTCAAAGTTTTCGAAAAGCAAGCATGGTTTTAATATTTAGGTGTACCCGTATTTAACATATTGCAACATTATTCAATTGGACAAAGTATGTGTTATCCAACCAGGTTTAAAGAAATATTTTTGAACAAAAAAAACATGGTTGAGAAGATGACATTTGTGAGCTAAGCCACTGCTCCCATCACCAGATATTCTCAATATATATATGAACTTAATGGATCCAATGGCACTTCTAATGTCTGCAGTCATAAATGAAAATACCCGTTACATGTAATTGCTTATGTAAGATCTCCAGATATTATGTTGCTTTTTGTAAAAGATATGTACCAGTCTATGTAAAAGGAACAACAAAACAAAAGAAAAAAATCTATCATGTTTACTGACGTCTTTGCACTGAAGTTCCTGAGTTTTGTTGCAGAATAGTACTACTTTCAGTGAATTGGTTTTAGTTTCTGTACCCTTTCTCTTAGTCGGAAGAGCTTTCACTTCCATTTTCATCCGATAAACACCATTCCAGTTCAGACAACGCGTTCCTTACCCACTTACAA